GGTGAATGAAGTTACCGGACGAACTGATGTCACATTGAAACTTGCATATGAATGAATTAATCAATGACTAAGCTGTTTAGGCTTTCAAAAATTCTAGACAGATCACATTCATTGTGAAGTATATGGTATAGTGTCATAATCACAGTTATATGTAACAATGATGATGATAATAATTACTTGAACAAAATTTATGACATAGTCTGATGTCTAGTTCTTGTATTAATTAGCAATCTTCTGTTGAGTATATGCGGTTTCGAATCTCAGTGGAAATACTATCACTCACTGGGATATAAGTATATCCAGCTGAAAAGTCCTGAATGTGATGAAATATGCATCTTGTATTCCGATTTCAGTCACCATCAGATAACTGTATTACAACATATTAACCTCAAGACATCGTCACAGCATCCGTATTCAGACAGTCGTGTCGTGTCAACAGATACAGAGCATTTTGATGTGGTTGTGTTCTCTGAGCTGGATAGTTTATTTGCGAAGCTTTCATTACCTTACTAGGCAACATCTGCAGCGCGTACTTCAGTTTGATGTAGAGCATTTCAGTCTAATGAAATGAATTAACGGCGAATTCAAAATAATTTCAACTAATTATAATATTTTCCCTCCTTCTTTTAAACTTGAGATACTATCTATTTGACAATTCTGCATGTCTGGTGAGAATTTCTGTAGGTTTTTTACTAACGAAAATTGTGTAACGAGTCTGTCAGTAGTGATGATAATTGCTGGATTTTATTATTGTTATTATTCTGTTAACACTGGCAGTGAATCAGTATGTGATAGAACGCATAATTCAAGAGATGAGAAACGAAAATTGAACGACTCCAAAAAACCTCGTCTTTTCAATACTCACCTACACTTTTTTAATGGAAGTTTTTGAAACAAAGTAGAAGTAATTATATTGAGAGAACAGTGTTTTGTTGTCTTTATAAGGTATAATGTTTCCCTCACTTTTTTCTCTCCTATATTGCATAAACTTCTCAATTGTTTCTTGTTTTCACTCTTGTCAATAAAATATAAATCAAAACGCATTACTCAAGTATATATATATATATATATATATATATATATATGTATATATCATAAATATATATATATGTATATACCAGTACTTTTATTTGTTTATATACGTGATGAGGTGTACAAAGACATCCTTTTTCATGCTGTTAAGTAATATTTTGTCTTCTTCCCAGTCACATCTAATCCCAATGTCACCTACTCTGTCTATCTCTCTCTCCCCCCCACACACAAACACTTGGTCTTGTTCTACTTAGCAAAGAAAAATAAAGTATTTCATCGATTTTTGATTTTGTATAAACGTAAGCGAATTTTATTGAGCAGAGATTAATTCTGACTTTTACCTACCTTATGCTACTGAATTATTGGTATTATTATACTCACTTATCATCTGTCCGTGTTCTGACATGATTTGTAGCCTATAATCTGTCTCCTTCCTGCCTGCCTGCTTTCATCCATGCTTACGTCTATCTGTGGTATGACGTTTTCAAGCTTTTTGCATAATTGTTTCTTTATCGTCTTTTTGTGTAATTAGTATATCTTGAAGTAATGAAAGATATGATTTGATGGTCATTTATAGATCGATGGTCATTTCATATTACCACTGTAATTCATTACTATTATTATTATTATTATTATCATTAATACTACTAGTATTTGTAATATAATCATTAGTTATGATGATTGCTAAATACATGAGCATATGCGTATGCATGTATACACGTGGAACATAACTTTCTCTGTATACATCGTACCTATATGCATTATCGTGTCTTAATATAGATTATTATTTATTTATGTTGTATAAGTGTTCACGTTTTATGTGAACAATGATTGATTCCCATATTAGATTTGTCCTGTCCACTTATTCACTCTTGTTCATTTCGTAGTACGTGTGTGTATGTGTCCACATGTTTTTACATTTGACTGTTTTCTTCCTTAATAATATTCGTTCGTTTCCCTCTTTGTCACCCTCTCTCTCTCTCTCTCCGTGTCTTCAGTATTCCAAGTATGTTTTGTTTTATAGTCCTGTGGAGATTGATGAGGATGATGGTTGGTGTTGGTAAATAGTCCATGTTTTTGTAATTAGAAATGAAGTAAAAGGCAAGATGATAGAGAACACTTCCACTTATAACCAAGTTTTATTTCATGAAAAGAAAAACATTCCTCCATCCATACATCCATCTAAGCATTATTATTTTTATTATTGTTATTGTTATAGAGTAATTTAGAGTCTATTAAAAGCTTACAGAAGAGTGATACATTGTAAATAAAGTGTTTTACGAGTTGTAAGACAAGCGAAACTAGTGATAATTCAATAGGGAAAGATAAGGAAAGAAAATAGTGGTAGAAAAGACAGCTTTCTCCCCATAGATTGAAATTTCAATGTTTCATTGTAAATTACTTCCTTAATATGCAGCATAACCTACTCAAATTTTTATATTCCCCAACTGAATAATTTATAAACTGCGTATTTTGCCTTGAATTTACTCACACTTTGGGGTAAATATTTCTTTTCATTATTGGATTGTTATTTCAGTCTCTCTCATAGCAATCATTTGAAACAGATGATTCAACGTGTTCAAACACTTTGTATCACTTAACATAAACATATCCTGATAAAAGATAAAAGAAATCTAAGTGGCCAAGTCGCTGGCATCGGTACTGTAAATGAGAAAGTTTCGAAACTTTGTGAGAAAATCTAATTTCTGAAGACTACTAGTTATTTCTAAAAATTACCTCACACATAATCCAATTATAGACTTTTGTGTTGGTTGACTCCTAACACTTAAGGGGTGAAAAGTGCACTCCATATTATTATCGTTTCTATATTTCAAACTTGGCAGGTAGATTTTAATCAATGCTTAAAACTAAACGTGATTATTGGTCAGTATGCTGTATGCAACTTATCCATTGTGTTTTGCTGTAATAGACTAATTGTTTGACTATGCCATTATTTCTTCCTATTCCCTGTTGAGTAGATAAATTGATGGGATACATTCACTTTGGTTCGAAACATGATAATTTTCACTGTTATAAGAACAAGATTTGGACACTTGGTAAAGTGTATCACCGTAATAGAAAAATTTATTTGAAATTCGAAAATAACCCAAACTTCAGGATACCTTACGTTGACAATGTGGTCAACAACATAGGTATATTCAATAGATCAGGGTTATTCTGGTTATCGTCACAGAAGCTTAACCAAATGAGCATGATAGAGTCTATATATAATGACTCACTTAAAAAAACTCGATTACTACATGGCACACACAATCAAACAGTAGGGTAAGGTAGAGCTACATTTCTAAAACTTAGTATTATTAAACTGGAGAGAGGGATTAGTGAGTGTTTCTTTTTTATCGAGTTGTACGATAGGAATAACTCAAGACAAAAACTGAAGATATGGAAAATATTCTTACCATTAAAGCCAAAACATAAGAAATAACTATTTCAATTAAATCTGAAAGTTTCATGAGTACCTTTATATGATGACGAGCAACAAATTGTGCCGGGAACGTCATCAGTAAATAAACAGTACCGTATAATCGTGTGTTATTATTATTATTGTTCCCTTGGGTTCCTAGTGGAACATAGGGCTTCAACTGCACGTCTCCATTTGTTTCTGTCTTCTGCTGTACTTTTCACTTGCATCCATGTTAGTCCATACTGTTCCAACTCTTCTTCACACGATCTCCTCCATATCACCCTTGGATGTCCCACTCGCCGCTTCCCTTTCGGGTTCCACTCGAGGGCCTGACGCGCGATGTCACCCAGCGGCCTCCTCCTCACGGAGTGTCCAATCCATCTCCACTTTCCCCTGCATATTTGTTTGGCGATTGGTTCTTGTTTTGTTTGTTCCCATAGTTTCTTGTTGGTACTTGTTCTTTCCGGCCATCTGATCTTCAGTATAGAGCGAAGACAGCTGTTGATAAAGGTCTGCAACCTGTTGGAAATATTCTTTGTGACCCGCCAAGTTTCTGATCCGTATAGCAAAACTGACTTGACGTTTGTATTGAAAATCCGAATTTTGTTGTTGATGCTGAGTGACGAAGATTTCCAGATTGGTTTCAGGTTGATGAATGTGTTTCTCGCCTTCACGATTCTCGATTTGACATCTTCGTCTGTTCCTCCTGTAGTTGAGACAATGCTTCCTAGATAAGTGAATGAAGTAACCTCTTTCAAATCCCTCCTGTTGATGGTGATTGGCGCTGGATGTTGCTGCTGTTGTTGTTATTGGTTGGTTATCTTCATAACCTCCGTCTTGTCTATGTTCACCTGGAGTACTGTCTTTGCCGCTTCTTCGACCAGTTTGTCGGTTTTCGCTTGTAATTCTTCGATTTTGTGTGACATCAAACATAAATCATCCACGCGCAAAATCGAGGTCTTCTAGGTTCTTCACGTCGGTCCAGGATATCCCTGTCTTCTCGTTTCCCACTGTCTGACGCATAATCCAGTCCACCACAATTAGGAATATCATTGGTGATAATAAGCACCCTTGTCTGACTCCTGTGTTTACTCCAAACGGTTCGCTGAGTTTTCCGTTGTGGATCACTTGACATGTGCCGTTGTCGTACAGCTGTTGAATAAGGTTGATGAATAACCGATGCTCTCTCATGAATCTTGGATGCCTCTTTGTTTCACGACAACACTGGAGCATTTAAATTCCTTTTCCTATTTTTGTTGTAATGGTGAATTACCACATACTGCTGGAGACAGAGGCTTAAATATTTATCAATCGGAAATGCATCTAATTAGTTGAATACATACGCCTGAAGGAAATAGCAATCCACTGTTTGCTTAAAAATCATTGATATTTTCAGAATACTCAACATTATTATTATTACTGTTATTTGTAATTTCTATTTTAATAAAGGTGTTCCCTGGGTTCAGCTAATTGCCTTGATATTATCATTTCACTTGGAAAATAAGTTGACTGTGCAAATTATATATTTCTTGCATTGATTCAGGTTTCCAGTAAAGGATTAGATTTACAAGTTGGCTATGATCTGCTTCAACTTACAAGTCATGGTGGAATATATTCGTTGGAGCTAACACTCAATAAACCGGTGGACGAAGAAACCACGGTAGCCGAATTCAACAGAGACACAAAAGTAAGTTTATAAGTACGTACATAATCTGTATCGTTTATCTGCGTGTACTAGACAGTGTCTTTGTGTGTTATTCATAAGCATATATATATATATATATGTTAGAGTTTTTCGTTACACTCAAGCCAAAGTAAATTTAAGGGGGAAATTTAAATTTTTCGTACAAGCATCAACATCTCCATTTACAGTCTAATTTCATATGACTGATAAGTCAATGATATAAATAGGGTTGAATCAATTTCATAATTGAATACTGCTTAATATTGTCACTTATTCTATTAATACAGACTTGAAAAACCACCAAGAAAAAAGATAAGCAAGTTTTAATCACTTGTAAAAATACGAAATGTACTGATGGTTTGTTCGAATATGCTAAAACGTAGCATTAATTCGTCTTATCTATCTGACTATTGGTCTGGGACATATAGACATACATTAGTTGCTTTTCTGAAATCTTCATAGTTCTAAAAATCAGAACTCGAAAACTCTTTGTGATGCGATTGGGAGGAATAAGCGTTTAGTTTTCCCCTCTGTTATATTATCTGTAGGATTATAAGGCAGAAAAAGGTAACTCAGGACTACTAACTGAGAAAGTCTAATTCACCATTATGCTATAGATGAGTTCGCTGATCTCTACTTCTCATTTAAACAACTGCATGGTTGTCTGGAAATTAACTCAGTAGTGTATTGTGGCTTACTAGATTAAGACTTCAGTTTTCAACCAGTAAGTCATGAGTTTGAAGCCTGCACTATTTCAGGTCAAGAACTTTGCTTGATTTCGGATGCTGACAGTTATGATTTTGTATCCGAATCTGACAGAATGGATATCCGGGCATTACATCCATGACTATGTCAAATAGCTACCTATTATATCGGCTAAGCTTAATACTATGTAGTTATCACAAGTGCTTCTTTCAAAGACGAAGATGATCAGTGATTGAGAACGGTCAAAGCGTATCATGTCTGGCTACCACATTTCAGCCAATAATCCCACTCATTCTCCTTAGATAATTCTGGAGATATTTCTTCCTTTTAAAGACTGCTTACAGCTAAACTAATTTCTGAATTGTGGCTTGAAGCTAATGCTCTGCCCATGTTTCAATCAGCTTATTTGTAAGTGAACTACTGAACTGTCCTGCAGTAGTATAGTTTCGTTAACCTCTATTTTTTTAAACTAGTTTTTTTCATCAACCTAAATTGTCCCTTGCTGTTTACTTTCACCATTAGTCCTTCTGTCTCTTTAGCTTGAACCGTATATTAGTCTGCATGTCAACTCCCTGTGGACTTCGTCGTATTCAGAACTTACTGGAATGCATTCTTTTGCATCCATTAATTCTAAAAATACTGCTTGAGATGCTATTTTTTTCTCCTTCACTTTCCCCAGTGGAACATAGGGCTTCAAGCTAGAGGCTTGAAGTTTCTGTAGCAGTGGTTGCTAGCCTCATGCCCAACCTTTCCTCTTCACCAGCATTACTTCTGTCTTAGCGAGGTAAAGGAGTGCGTCGGCCGGGGATCGAACCCCGGACCAAATGTATGGTCGGCGAGGGTCCTAACGCCATGCCACCGACGCACATGAGATGCAATAGCCTATTTAAATTATTTCTAGAGGATCAGAAACATTATCTAACACTGTGTTTACAGTAGACTGAAGAGAGCACAAAGCTTTGATAGAACTAGTAAAGTTGTTGTGTTACACCTCCTATTTTATCACTGCCTTTTTAAATGCAGTCTCTGACATTGTGAAACTTTTTTTCTCCTAAGGTTTAATGGGGTGCAGTTGAACACGTGTGCAGACCAGTACATGATCGCTATTCAATAACGTTCTGCAGAGGAGGCGTCAATCATTTATAAAAATCCCTTAAACGCAGACTGACATTGATATATTTTATTTGGGTCTAGTATTTAGTTGAGTTTTAAAGTCTCTGTGTCAAGTAATGCCTTATCTAAGAGTCTTTTTATCTGATTTAGCACTCCTAATCGACTATTACAACCTAACTTTTTTTAAAAACCATAAAATGACCATTTTCATGTATAATAGCTGGTGAAAATGAATCACGAAAATTCAGAGAAATCAAAATTAAGCAGAGTTGCAAATAAAGTTGTTTAGTGGATAAAATAATTTTCGAAAAATGCTTCTGACTGAGTTATACATTCAAATAAAATGAAGTGATTTTTATGTTTGTAAACTGATTCTTTTCCAAGTTATAGTTAGCAGAATGACTGATCTGAAATGCCCTCCTGAACAGTTTTTTTTTTACAGTACTGATAATTATTTGAATGTCCCAATTAGTTTTATAATTATTACCCTCTATCCCTGATTTGAGCAACATCATTCTAACATTTGCTTGTCTTATTTGGATTTAATCGTCAATGTTTGTCTTTTTTTCGTTGATTCTTATTCCTGTCGCTTCACTTTACCACTGCGTGCTCCTGCGTGATGACAAGAGATTGTTATTCTTACTATTGCCGATATTGTATTTGATTAAACTTAAGGGGTCACCATGTAGTGAACGCTTGCTCTTGGAATGTCTGTAGGAAATGTGTTTTGTTTTTGATTCTTGTGAACAGAATCTCGATCCCATTTCATTCTCATTAGGTATTTGTACAAAAATGCCGTGGCCTGAGAGCGCCGTGGAGTACCATACGTTGCGTCAAGGAAAATCGTGTTGTGACTTTTTGGAATGTACATTTTTGACTGTACCTGACTCATGGAAGTTTGGTAATCTATACAGAAGAAAGCGGCAAATCGTGTAGGTAGCATCGATTTCGTTCCGTTGATTTGTTTCCTGCGTCTAGACCGAAATATTTGGATTTTGTTTGTTAGAATAACTATATTACTTAATCAAACAGCTGTTTTCCAGTTTCGCTATTCGTTTCCTTGTCCAAGGACTTAATGCCATCCTACACTTATTGGACCGTGATAAATTGCTATTTCTACCGCGATTGTTTGAAGCGTGAATTGTTAAGTCTCACTCATGTAATCACTTAACATCCGATGGACGGTAACACTGGGGCCTCCTCTGTGTATCTCACAAAAATATAATGCGTCTATATTTTGAAATGCAATAGTTTAACCTAGTGAGGCGTATTCAACGGTTTGAAATCAAGTGTGAAAATTGAAAGCTCCTGTATAAACCTGACAGCAAAATATCTATTTCGTGTTGCATCCCCTTGAACCACCCGTACTACTGTGTCTCCGGACTGTGACAATAGCGGAAGCAGCCTATCCTCTTACAACAACTGCTGGTAGTCATGCTTCCGTCCAGTCAAACTTTCTGTTGTAGTAAAAACTATAGAAACAATCGTCGTAACCATTGTGGCTAGGATAGTCAAGTCCGAACATCTTATCAAGGTAGCACTTGTTGGCTAGTTTGATCTTCTACATAAACAACTGGTTACAAGATGAATATCAAATTTAGGTTGTTGACTTCAAGATAATTATTTGCATCAGTCAAATAGGTCCGATATAATAAAAATGTAGTATTCCAAGTTAATACAATTTACAGCAGTTGTGTGAAAGAAAGTTAGTTTATATAAATTCAAAAAAATTAATACAAAGGCCAAGGATTAAAATGCAAATTGAAGGGAGCGCTGGCATGCAAATCATAATTATTGCGTCAAAGAAATGGAACAGGGGTAAGCCACACCTGTCAAGTTAGAATGAAATCTCGACTGAGCTTTTTGTTATTTAAAATCTTTCAACTATGGTTAGTTCGCTAGTTAGCTATTTAGTAATATTTCTGGAATCAAGTGTTTTACAAGATGCCCTTTATAGGATTGAGTAAAAATTATAGTGCGTTTGGAAGCATATGAGCTAAAAAGCTTTTAAGAGTACCTACACTTACTATAGTGAGTAAATAAATTGGCGAATGAAATAATAAAACATTATAACCATCCTCCCTCTTAATTTCGATAAATTTTTTGAGTAACAACGAGTTATACTGAGGATAATAATAACAACTTGTTTTTCTATGTGTGGCGAAATTCTTATCAACTGTAAAATGGGGAATGACGGCTAGTCAACATTAATATAAACTGAAATGGATTTCGAGTATGATAATAAATAGAAAAAGAAATGGAAAGTATGTGTGATTTCCACTTCTCAAAGTTCTCTCTCCATCTTTGTGCTGGTTTTTTCCCCTACACCCGTAGGATTGAATTATAGTTCGTGTAATTTTTGATGAAACACATTTATACGAGGAAAGATTCAATACATTTTCAGACGTAACGTGACTACTTATCTCAAGCGTTTTCAGCATTTCGATCGGTCTGTTGTTATTGTTTAGCATAGACATGTATGTGTGCGCAAAACAACAAAATCGCATGCTCTCTGAAATATTTACAAAAATGCACAGAAGGAAAAAAAGGAGAGTGAAATCAATGCCTGCACGAAAACTGACGTGATTTTTATTTACTTATTTATTTATTACTGACAATCGGCATTGTGTTGTAAATTGTCGTGTCTTCTTCTCCATTGATATACACTTTTGTCTGCTTGCTTGTGTTTATTTAAAAAACAAAACAAAAATTGGTTTGTCTGGTCACAGTCGAAAATTTTTCCTTCTTAGCTTTCTCTGTCTGCACTTATATTGCACGGTGTTATTGTCTGTTGAAAAAATCACACTTGGAAAAAGTGAAGATGAAACAGGCTTAGAATAGCACACATTCAGTCTGCTAACTTTTCGTATCTAGTTAATAAATTTTAGTGCCTCTTAATGTTTTAGTTTTTCTGACTGACTGATTGATTGATTGAATTTCACTGTAGATCTTTATAAAGAAGTGCAGCAGTTGAAGTTGCTGCATCCCATGCAGCACACAAAACTAGAGAAAAGATAGAAAGAAGAATTATAATCAGCAAGTTTACAGGAGAAAGAATAGTTAAATGGAGAACATGGGGATTGGATGTATTTAGTATATTAAAAAGAGTGAATACATCTGCACCGCTTAGAACGATTTTAAGCCATATTATCAATAGACTGAAACAATTGGTTCTTAGAATGCGA